TAGAGATTATGAAGAAGCTTCCTTTTCCACAAGCACAAGTGGTCCCTAAGCAAGTAAAGGGACATTTGATCAAGAGGTATATGATTTCTTCCACAAGATTCATGTTAATGTACCCTTGATGGATGTAGTTAAGAACTTTCCTAAGTATGCCAAATTTTTGAAAGATTGTTGTACAAATAAAAGAAAATTTAGGCCTAATGCAAGGGTACAATTACCCTCATCTGTGAGTGCTATCATGAAGCCTCAACTCCCTATAAAATGTGAAGACCCCGGTTCCTTCACAATTCCATGCAAGATTGGCAACACACATTTTTCTCATGCATTGATAGACTTAGGTGCAGCCATTAATGTTATGCCTCTTTCAATTTATCATGCCTTGAGTCTTGATTGCATGCATAAGACACCTGATATGCCAATTAGCGGATAGAAGTGTTAGAAGACCACATGGAGTAGTAGAAGACTTGTTGGTTGTGTTAAAGGTCTATTATTTCCTGTGGATTTCTATGTGCTTGATATGTCAAAAGAAGGGAGTGGGGATGATATTTGATTTTAGGAAGGCCATTTATGAGGACTGCCCGTACATTGATTGACATGGAAAAAGGTAGTTTGATTTTGAAATGTGGAGAGGATCATGTTATTTTTAATATATATGAAGCAATGAAACATCCTTTTGAGGATTATTCTTTGTTAGGTGTAAGTTCCATTGAGTTATTGCTTCATGATGCTTGTGAGTCTCACATGCTTGATTCTTTCTCACATGTTGATGATGATTTGTCTCTTGTTACTACTACATGTATTGATGGATGTAGTTGTCCTATTTGTTTAGAGATTGATGCATGCTTGAATGATGCAACTACTTCTTCTCATGATTTGTTTTAAAATATCTCCTATGCTTGATCTTGAAATGCTTGAGAAGGGTATATCTTCTTGTGTTGTAGGTACTAAAGCCATTAAGGCCGAATCTATGAGTTTTTCTCCACTCGAGCTTGATGTTCTTAGGATTCCCAAGCTATTGGAGGAAAATTCTACACTTTCACATGTCGAGGGCCGTGGCTCAAGTCCAAGCACTTGAGGACAAGTTGCAAGAAAGGGGGAGGCTGTAAAGAAAGAAGAGGAGAAATCAAAAACAAGTGACAAGCCTAAAAGACAAGATAGTACCATGGAATATTCCACCAAATTAGACTTGAAGAAGCTCATTCCCTCTTGTGTAGAGCCACTACCTTGGAGTTGAAGCCTTTACCATCCAATCTCAAGTATGCATATCTCATTGAGAATGAGAAGCTTCCGGTAATAATTTCTAACTCTTTATCTCTGAGGAAGAAAATGCATTACTTGATGTGTTGAGAAAGAACATACATGCTATTGGTTGGACTTTGGCTGACATTCCTGGTATTGACCCTATTGTGTGCACACATAAAATTTTTCTTGAGGACAATGCTAAGCCCATTAGGCAACCACAAAGGAGACTTAACCCATTGATTTTAGATGTGGTAAAGAAAGAGGTGTTAAGCTACTTAGTGCTGGGATCATCTATCCTATAGCTGACAGTGAGTGGGTGTCTCCAACCCAAGTTGTACCTAAGAAAGGGGGGATTACTGTGGTAAAAATGAGAAAGGAGAGCTTGTTCCAACTAGAGTTCAAAATGCTTGGAGAGTGTGCATAGACTATAGGAAGCTCAATAATGTGACTAGGAAGGACCATTTTCCTTTGCCTTTTATTGATCAAATGCTTGAGAGATTGGCTTCCAAGTCCCATTATTGCTTCCTAGATGGGTTTAGTGGGTATTTTCAGATTCCTATAGCTCCTAGTGACCAAGATAAGACTACCTTTACATGCCCCTTTGGTACATTTGCCTATAGGAGGATGCCTTTTGGTCTTTGCAATGCACCTGGTACTTTTCAAAGATGCATGATGTCCATATTTTGTGATTTTATTGAACATTGCATGGAAGTCTTTATGGATGATTTTACTGTGTATGGTGAGTCCTTTGATTCATGCTTGCATTCTTTAGATAAAGTGCTTGGTAGGTGCATTGAAAAGAAGCTTGTGCTTAACTTTGAAAAATGCCATTTCATGGTAGATAAAGGAATTGTTTTAGGCCATTTGATTTCTTCCAATGGCATAGAGGTGGATAAGGCCAAAGTAGATGTGATTGCTTCTTTGCCATATCCTGTTTGTTTGAAAGATTTGAGATCATTTTTGGGACATGCAGGCTTTTATAGGAGATTTATAAAGGGGTTTAGTGAAATTGCTTTGCCTATGTCTAAACTCTTACAAAAAGATGTTGATTTTGTTTTTGATGATGCTTGCAAAAGGAGTTTTGACACTTTGAAAAGCATGCTCATTTCCCCTCCCATTCTTAAAGCCCCAAATTGGTCTTTACCTTTTGAGTTGTCATGTGATGCTTCTAATTTTGCTGTGGGAGCTATGCTTGGTCAAAGAGAGGGCAAGTTATCATATGTGATTGCTTATGCATCTAGGACCCTAGATTCAGCTCAGGTTAATTACACCACAACTGAGAAAGAGTTGTTTGCTATTGTTTTTGCACTTGATAAATTTA